TCTGTAAAAGATCTATTTCATTATCTTTTTCTTTCTCTGAAATGCTTGAGGCAAATTACTAAAGAATTTCAGAATTGATGCATACCTTTTAAATTCACTAATCCAATGATACAAAGAGAAAGCCCAGATCCAGATGGGTTAAGTCACATATCCAAATGTCAGAGCTGGTCAGTGGCACAGCCAGGCTAGGATCCCAGGAACTACGTAGTCATTGACACCCTCTAGGACTCACTTAGTCCTGCTACTGGGAAGGCTCTGCCTGAATTAAAACTTGCTGTTAAGTGTCTAAAAAAAATTAGCTATATGAAAACAACCCTGTATAATAGAAAAACTAGCATTATACAGCCTCACATTCTCATGTGTTTCCTTTGACTGTAGCGAGTTGTGTGTAGATGTTTTAAGTGTTTCATAGATTAGAAAACACTGAGCTAGAATCAACTTCATCATTAACACCATCCTCATTTTTGTCTTCATCTTCCTCCTCATCTCCTCAGCCTTCTGCTTCCCTCCTCCTGCTCTTTTTTCCTTGCCTTTGTTCAGTCTTGCCCACTCCCTTCTACCATATCAGGCTGCACATTCTTTAATTGCTTCTTCATGTGACAGTGGTTTTATAATACCATTTTCTAGACGGAGAACTGAGACCATTCAGAGAGTTTAGTCTTTCCTTCAGCATGGTGATCAAGACATGTTTTGTATCATTCATAATTTAGGGGAGCTTTTTTCAGGCTCATCCCTATATTGGAAATGTCATGTACAATTTTAGGGTTGATGTCAGTTTTGGGGAAAACTCTATCAAGAATCTTTCATTTGTGGACTGTAAAAGTTCAACGTATTTTGAGTTTTCTTCTGTAGTGATTATTTATTTATTTATTTTTTAAGTTGATAGTGTTCATTAAAAGGTTGGTTGATGTCAAGGTCTTGTGACAGTGGCATATTATGAATTTTACTCTGTTGATGTCAGTGACTTGTGTTAGATCAGCAAAAGATTTAAAGTCTCTTTCCAATGTGTTCATATAATTTACTCTTCATTGAATGTATTATCAAACAATGCAAGAGTCTTTTTAATCATTCCATTCAAAAGTTACCTCTTTCTTTTAATAAACTGCTTTTTGGTATGATCTAAAGATATTTTGGGTATAACTGTCTTTTCAATGTCAGATCATTTCAATTAATTTCATTGTTTATTATTATTGCTTCTCTTTTCTATTCTATTTATCTAAAACATATCCCACCAAACCCAAGCAAAATGTATACCTTTAGATTGGACCCCAACATGCTCATAATGCCACCTTCCAGAAGGGAGAAGTCAGAGTAGAAAGGGATAGTGGTCATAACTAATTGGCTTAAATAATTTACCTTGGCAAATTAAGAAGGAGACTGGCCCAGGGCCTTAGAAGGGGCTCATTCAAGGGTCCTAAGCTTAAACTTTGTTGCCTACAAGGTGCACCAGCCCCTGGTGGTATGTTCTGGGTTCATGTGTACTCTTGTATGAGCACACATGTACGGACATGGGCCCAGGGCTTCCTCAGATCCTGCCCAGGTGAAAATGGCCCCAAAGACAAGGGTCATTTCATCTACGTTGCAAATGGAGTTGGCCTCAGCTAGACGCTCCTCCCACCCCACTCCCCAAATCCAGGGGACTGCAGTGAGAGATGGGCCAGAAGGGGACCTCAAACCTGATCATCCATGGAATGATCCAATCTCCAGGTGCTCCCCTCCCTCCCAACTTCCTCTCAGTCCTCCCTCCTTCCTTCCCATGCACAGGTACAAGGCAAGGCAGCTAAGCATGCAATCTCTGCCTCTCTGCCTGGATTCAAATCCTGGCTCATGACCTAAGCTAGTCCAGTAAGGGTTCTTCTCTGGGAATTTTCAAACTGGAGTTTAATGGTGAGATCCCTGAGTTGCTGGAGAAAACCAATATGGACTCGGAGCGAGTAAACTAGGTAGAGGCAACCCAGGGAATGGTGGAAGAATAAGAGGGGCTTCAGGCTCTGGTCCCTGCTGTCAAACTTATGGATGTTATAGTTCCTGTAGTGCTGCTTCTGTATATGAACTGCCCCCTGTCCTTCCAACATACCCCTGGGGGGTTAAAGCTAATTTGAACTGGGTTTCTATCCCTTATAACTGCAAGTGTCCTGGCCTAAATCTCTCCCCATATCCGCTTCTTCTTCACCCGAGGACTCCTTCTTTGTAATGGTATTACTGTCCACTCTGAACCAAACTAGACCCTGAGTCAGCCTTGGTTCCCCATTTTCCCTCACATCCTAGGGCCTCCATATACAAGGCTCTGTGAACAGTTATGCATGCTGTTCACTGAACAAATGTACCTGGCTACGAAGGTCAGTGGGGAGCTGAAGTCCAGCCTGCTCTATGATTGCCCAGCTATGAACCCTGGTGCAGAGCAGCACCCTCAGGAAAGAAGGGACAGCTTTTTCCAATTGCACACTAGCTCCTGGGCCCTCTTCATACATATAATTGGTTTACTCAGTGCAGACACTCTGCATCCCCCTTTCTGTACCTTCTTATACCCCATTATGTGAAGGAACAGTTTATTTTCTGTAGTTTTGTGGTCTTTGCTCTTGCTGTGTCCTCAGCTTGGAGTATCCTCCCCTTTCATGACCAACTCCTTCAAGATTCTTACTAGAGATTACCTGCTTGTCTCTACCTTCTGTTTCTACTGTGTTCTTCTACCACATACACCCCCATTATAACAATTTATTGTGATGTAACCAACTGCTAAGAGATCCAATGTCTCCAAATGTCTCAGTGTTTTCCAGAGTCAGGAACTGTCCACTGGTCTCTGTTTTCACCCAGCATAGGATCTGGCAACTACTGAATGAGTGAGCCCCCAAAGGGTCTCAAAGGAGTGTAAAGAACCCGAAGGGACAACTGCAGAACAGCCAGAAGAAAAGCTGAGGATTATTGTAACGGAGCAGCTCTAGGCAGCTTTTCAGGGTCCCTGTGTTGTGGACAGCAGAGGCTCTCCTCAGAGCAGAGAGCAGAATTCCTTCTTGCTGGCAACATATCTTGCCGGCAGTCCTCAGGGTCATCCCACCTGCCAAGCAGAGCCTTTGAAAGTGGGCCTGTAAGGTTTTCAGAAAAAAAGTGTCTGTCGGGGTGAGATGCAGGAGACATTGGGGTCCTGGTGACAAATGTATGTATGTTTGGGAGCGGGCTTGGAAGGCATGGGGATGGGGAAAAATGTTTACCAGGCCATCCTTCCCGGGGTGCCCTCTGAGCTGTGCACGTGCATGCTCACATGCATGGGTCTGTGGGCATTGTCTGTTGTCTTTTCTTGTTTCTCAAGACACAGTTCCTCTTCCAGGAAGCCCTCTCCAGCACGCTGACTAAATCAATGTCCCCATCCACTGCTCTCAGAACGTTTATAGCCAAGCATGAGATGACGCTGGTTTGCACTGCCCTGACACAGCCAGAATGCTCTAGTTCCTGGCTAAGCAGAGATGTCTGTTCCTGTCTGGCCTCCTGTGTGGTCCCCTTAAGTTTACTCCTATCATTGGGGCCCCTGGGTGGCTCAGTGGGTTAAAGCCTCTGCCTTCGGCGCAGGTCATGATCCCAGGGTCCTGGAATCGAGCCCCACGTCAGGAGCCCCATGTCAGGAGCCCCACGTCAGGAGCCCCACGTCAGGCTCTCTGCTCTGCGGAGAGCCTGCTTCCTCCTCTCTCTGCCTGCCTCCCTACCTACTTGTGATCTCTCTCTCTCTCTGTCAAATAAATAAATAAAAAATCTTTAAAAAAAGACTTTTAAGATTAGTCCTATCACTGAGAGCCTGTAAGTGCCGTACAGCTTACATCGCCGCCCCTTCACAATCATTTAGTTTTTCCTTATAATGTCATGAGCACCTGATGCATCATCTATACTCATGCGACTTCCGGGTGGCACGAATTCCCAGTGTTGCTTCTGGACACCATGCCTGGGTTCACTCAGTATGTATCCAGGGGCGTGATTCTCAACCTTGCACGTGCTTTAGAATCACTTGGGGAGCTTTTGAAAAATAACAGTACCTGGCCCCAGATATCAGGGGCAGATACATTAAATCTTTGGCGAGTGGGGCAGACATGGATCTTTTTTTTTTTTTCACTACTCAAATCATTCTAAAATGCATCCTGACAGAAGAACCACTGACCTGCGTGTGGTGATGGGTCAGAGGAACCTCCCCCAGTATAGGCTCCTTTCTGCAATCCGTCTTCCGCCTACAGGGGTCGCTGCGGTACAGCTGGCCCAAGTTTTCCGGTTTCCTCTCTTCCTAGCCCCGTCCCCAGGGAAAGTCGGAGCCACTGCGGTATAAATTAGCGTCTTTATTTCGAACACCTGAGCGAGCGCCTGCGGCTCGCCCACCTGCTGTATAAACGTACAAAGTCCCTGTCGCACCGCACACCATGCCTCAGAGATAAATACAGCCCTAGGGGCTCCTGCTGTGGCAAAGCAACTCTTATTTACAGGAATAGATTACAAAAGTATTACAAAAAGTGGTCCTGAACTGGGGGGGGGTGGTGGTGGAGTGGTTACTGTTAACACTTGTGACACGCGGAACGCGACGGCGCCCCGCGGGCGCTGGCAAAGGGCAAAGTCGCCGGGGCTCCGGGAGGGAGGCCACGCCCCCTTCAGCAGCACCGGCGTCCGGAGGCGGGGTTTAGATCTGCGCGGGTCCCATCCCTCCTAGGGAAGTGGGGAAAGGCAGAGGACGGGTCTGGCCCCTCGAGGATCAGCTCTGGCCCAAGAAGGAACACCTAAAGGCCATCGCAGCGAGTCTCAGGGAAGGGTGTTGCGTGGGAAAGAAGGACTGTGTCCTTGCTGTGGAGTGCGGGAGTGGAAACACATCAGTTCTCCCGCCTCTCCCAACTCGGGAGGGGTCGCTTTTAAAGCGCGGTTGGGAGTGGGGGTTGGCATTTAAGCTCAATCTTTCGGGCGCGAGGGACTCTAGGGGCACCGTCCCTCGGGCGCGCGGGCAGCGGAGCCCTCCCATGCGGCCGCCCACCCCCTCAGAGCACCTGGTAGATGGGGTTGGGGTTTGCGCCCGCGGGGCACTGCGGGGCAGCGTCCGGGGAAGGGGTGGGGGCGCCGCGCTCGACCTCGCTCTGGGCGGCTTCCTCCTGTGGACCGGGAGAAGACTCCGGCGGCGCATCCACCAGCAGAAGAGCGGGAGCGGTGGGGCTGTCGGTGGAGATGCGCTCCACGATGCTGGACAGGCAGTCGAGGCTCGACACCGCGGCACTTTTCCCGGGCCTGGGTTCTGCGCGGGGAGGGGTAGGAGAGTATGCAGTTGAGCGGTGGACAAGTCTCCCACCCACGGGCTCAGTGCTTTGGGGCAGACAGGAAATTGAAGGCCCGCCGGAGTCCGAGAGGACCCAGAGAGGGTACGGAGCGAAAAGGAAGGGAGCTGCACGCTTAGTATTTCATTCCCTGTACAGTCTCCCAGGACTGGGGGCTAGGGGAAGGTTCTAGATAGAGGGAAGCCGGGGCAGCTCAAAGGGGGTAACGTGGGAAGGAGGCATGAATACGCACCGCCGGGCGTCTCGCTGTAGTAGGTGCCATCGTAGCAGTTCCGCCGCCGGGCACCGTTCGGGGGGCCGCTGTAGTCCATCTGCAAACGGTAAGGGCGACCGAGTCAGGCTCCGGGACCGCGTGGGGCCAGAGCATCACTCCCTGTAGCCACCCCACCTCAAGTCCCCAAGTCTCAGCCACGAGTTCTGGGCCCTGGTTGGAGGATCGGGGCAGACAGGCGCTGTCTGCAGCCGCCCGGGCTAACTAGAGGGCAGATAGTCGCCTAGGAACGTAAGTCTGAATTTTGTAAATAGGGTTAAGTGTGGAAAAGCAGATCTTCATATCGCTGAAGCAGAGCTCTAACAGCGCCCCCAGTAGGGTGACTCGCATTTGTCCCGTGCGCCCCCAAGGCACCAGACCTCCCCTAGTGACAGCTGCTTGGGACACCGGGGTCCACTCGCCGCAAGGTTCCCAGCCCAACCTCCCTCTGGAGGGCCTGCTCCTCGCCCTCGGAAACACGTCCCAGATATACCAGAAGCTGCCCTCACTTCTCTAGCGGGGGGTCCCCGCCTTACCATGCCGTCGGAGCAGTTGGACCGCGGGCTGGACGCGTCTGAGTCGCCGCTGTAGTGTTCGCCCACACGGCCTGGGGGCAGCGGGCCAGGCGCGTAGAAGGCAGCGGCGGCACCAGGGGGCGCGGAGTCCTGGTCGCGCAGCAGCGCCTGCAGGCCTTCGATGTAGCGAATCGCATTGCGCAGGATCTCCACCTTGGGCAGCCGCTGGTTCGGGTTGCTGGACGTGCAGCGCTTGAGCGTCTCGAAAGCCTCGTTGACTTTGCTCAGGCGGCGCCGCTCGCGCATGGTGGCTGCCTTGCGGCGGTCGGCGTTAGTGGTCTTGCGCTTGCACGCTTTGCAGGCCCACAGCAGACAGCGGCCAGCCTGGTGGTGCCCGCTGGGAGCGCGCACATGCTCGTCCTCGCGCGTGCCGGGCGCTGGGTGCACTGCCGCCGGGAAGTGCGAGTGTTCCTCGGGCTTCAGGAGCGCGCCCACGTGCACGAGGCGCGGGTCCAGGTCCTCGAAGAATCGCAGGTCGGAGGAGTCGAAACAAGGGTCATCATAGAAATCATCCGCGGAGGCAAAGTTGCAGAGGGCGCCGTCGGGGCCAGTCAAGTCTACGTCTCGGAGCGGCGGCGACAGCAGCTCCATATCCCGGCAGAGGGTGGCGCAGTCCCTGCTTCGGTAGGGGTTACCCGAAACTTTCTGCCTATCTGCAGTCCTGGCCCTGCGATAGTAAAGTACCGGGGTTCTGAATGTACACCCCACTATCTCCCCCCCCCCCCCGCTGCCGGGTCCTGTTGGGTCTGCCGGGAAAGCAGCGGCAGCGCCCCGGGGCTTCCCCACCCCTGTCTTCACGCCAGGCGCCGGGGGCTATTTATCCAGTAGTAGCTTAAGGGCCCCCGAGCGGGAGCGGGCGGCTGGGGGCGGGGGCGCCCGAGGCCAATAGAAACAAGGTGGGGAGGAGCTTGGGATCCCCAGGGTGGCTGCTGGGGCAAGAGACTAGCCAACCCCCTACCCCTCGACCCCCGCGCGCGGGCGCTCCGGCCCCTCCCTAGACTGGGAGGGAGGCAGAGGCTGGCAGCCCAACGCGGTTGCACTTGGCTCCGGGGCACACTTGCTCCAAACCTCTCCAGCACCGTACTCCTCCTATGTCCCCGGGAAGTGTTGGCCGCGCGCGCTTAACTCCAAGCTGACTTTGGGTCTCCCTCTGTCCTCTGATTTATGGGGGGATCTAGGTGCATGGTAGGAGTAGGAAACAGATCGCGAGAGACTTAGAGAGAGACCCATGGCAATAGGGCAGAGACACACTCAGAGGTGAGACAGTAAGAGATACAGCCGAAAGACAGACACGAAAAGCAGAAAGCTAAAGCCAGAGACAGAGAAATCTGCAACGAGAATTAGAGTCCAAGTGGATGAACCTGAGGCAAACTGGACGTGGGGGCCGGGTCACTAGGTCAGTCCGTACCTGGGAGTCGCTCAGAGGGCGGTGGGCCCAGTATCCCCCTCTGGATGCTTAGAAACTGAGCCGCTGCATCTACGCAGAAGAGGGGGATGGCTGCCAAAGCGCCTCACCAATGTCTGGAGCCCAGGTTCTGCCCTGGCCTGGAGGGAGGGGACTGAACTCTTGCCTAGCTCTACCTGCGTGTGTCAGCAGCGGAGTGCCCTGTGCGGGTCTGGGTGGAGATGTGTCTTCCACTGGGAAGAAAACGGCTCTGGTTTTCCCTCGCGCACAGCGAGGTTCATGGCGCAAAGCCCTCCAACGCCCAGACTCAGCCTGAGAACCCCACTTCAGAGGGGATGTTTGAGAGTAGAGTTTGGGAGACCAGTGATCTAAGTTCGAGGCCAGATCCCATAGATTCTTGTGTGATTTTGCCGAAGTCATACCACCTTCCAAGCCTCAGTTTCCCTACTTTGTAAATTTGGGGATAATAATAGCTATTTCTTGGAGTAATTGTGGTTGTGGTGAGAATCTAAAAGAGACCAAAGATGTGGAGGCCCTTGGTCCCAGATACAAGACCGTATTACCGAGAGGACTTGCTTCTGTCTTTGGCCCAGACTGAGCTGTGGGCTCCCTGCAGGTTTCCCAGCTGTTGGCTGGGGCACTGAGCCCTGACAGAGACCCATGTGGTATCAGGGCTTAGCTTCTGCAGAGGTCTTAGCTGCATTTCTTCCCAGCAAGCCCACTGGAAAGACTGGGAGTAGAAGGAGAAGGCAATTCAGGGGATCTCTTGCTCCTTCACAAGCCCTGGGTAACCCCCATCCCCAGAATGCCTCTTAACCTTTTCTTGAATCTCTTGTCCACATCTTCCTATCAGCACTCTGACTAGAGGTCTCCCTTGGACCAGATAGCCCTCCAGGGCTCTCTCCCTGCAGCACCTACAGAATAGAAGCAAGAGTAGTCATTGTGCCTTATACTTCAAGAAGCTGTCCTAACTGGCTCCCTGGACCCTGGGAAGCTTTCCCTTCCCATCAAACCTAACAGACTTGTTGGGAGCCCTGCCTTCTTCACTTCTCTGCCACTAGCAATGCTGAAGGTCCCCTTCATGATGTGGTCCCCTCCGTTCACTCTGTAACTCCACCTTCATGTAGTCCTTCAACACATATTATGAAGCATCCCTTTGTGCCAGGTATTGGCCTAGGTGTTGGGGGATACAGCAATGAATAAAATGGAGACTCTGCTCTTGTGGTGTTTACATTGTAGGTTAGGGAGACAGATAATAAACAAATAAGCCAGAAAAATGTGCTATCAGGAAGTTTTCAGTTCTATGAAGAAAAATAAAGCAAAGGGAAAAAGTGATGAAGATTATTTCATTATATAAAGTGGTCTGGTAAGGCCTCTCTGAGCTGATTACATTTGAGCAGAGACCAGAATGAGGGAAGGGCAGAAGTAGGTATCTGGAGTCAGATAGAAGGAAGGGCACATGCAAAGGTCCTGAGGCAGGACTGTGTTTGTTATATTTAAAGTACAGCAAGGAGGCTGGTGTGTCCGCTGCAGAATGAGCCAGTGGGAGAGTGGTAACAGATGGGGTGAAAGAGGGACAAAGAATTTGAATTCTGAGATGAAAAGCCACTGGAGAGGGACGCCTGGGTGGCTTGGTTGGTTAAGCAGCTGTCTTCGGCTCAGGTCATGATCCCGGCATCCTGGGATCGAGTCCCACATTGGGCTCCTTGCTCAGCAGGGAGTCTGCTTCTCCCTCTGCCTCTGCCTGCCACTCTGTCTGCCTGTGCTCACTCTCTCTGACAAATACATAAATAAAATCTTAAAAAAAGAAAAGAAAAGAAAAGAAAAGCCACTGGAGGGTTTGAGTTGGAAGAGAAGAATGTTACCGATTGACTTACATTTTAACAGGAACATACAGGTTTTGGAGAGCAAAGGCAGAAGCAGGGAGAGTGTTAGGAGACTATTGTAACGAGCCAAGTAAGTGGTGATGGTGGTTTAGATCGGGTACCAACAGTGAAGATGGTGAAACGTAGTTCAATTCCATACATATTTTGAAGATGGAGTCAGCAATATTTATTCATGTTTGGATGTAGGCAGGAGGACAAGAGAGGAGTTGAAGAGGACTTGGAGAAAAATGGAGTTGGGGAGCAGCAGGTTTGCAGGTGACAGATCGGGAGTCCAAGTTAAGACACAATTTGAGATGGGTGTTCAACATCCAGGTGGAGAGATTAGGTAGGTAGGGGTTTCATGAGGCTGGAGTTCCAGGGGGGAGGTCTGGGCAGGGGGAAGCCCTGTCCACTGAGACATCGGAGTCTCTCCAACCCCAGTGCTGCCATCCTGGACTAAGGCGCCACTCTCCTGACCTGGATGACCACCAGGGCTTCCTGGCTGCTCTCCTTACTTCCTCCATTCTTGCCCCAGCATAATCTGTCCCCCTACACAGCAGCCTGAGTAATCCTTTAAATATGTAAATGAGATGATATCCCTTTCCAGCTTTAAACTCCTTAAGAGCTTCTCTGTTACACTTAGAATAAAATCTCATCTCCTTACACTAGCCTGTAAAGTCCTACACAAGCTGGCCTCAGCCCATCTGTTTGATTTCATCTGGAGCCACCATCCCTTCTGATCACTCCATTCTAGTCTGAGCTCCTTTCCCATCTTTGAACACTAAGAGCGTGATCTGACCTCAGAGCCTTGTCCTTGCTCCTTACTGCCCTGGCCCCAGCTCCTCCCACGATCGCTGCTTTTCCTATATCAGGTCTCAGCTCAAACATCACTTCCTGGGGATGTCTCCGACCATCTCCTCTAAGGTAGCTGGGTCACGTCACTCTTCCCTTCTTCACAGGGCCACTCTGTAATTATCTTCTTAATTCGCTCACTGATGGATATAGCCTCAGGAAGGCAAAATCATTTTGCTCACCACGGCATCTCCAGAAACCATCCCAGTGGCTGTCACATAGTAGGAACTTGATAAATGTCGAATGAATGAATGGGTGGCCTCCTGCCCTTTGAATCTCTATGCATATATTTGAATATCGTGAAATATGTCATTAATGAGAATGGTTGTACCTCTTTTTTTTTTTTTAAAGATTTAATTTATTTATTTATTTGACAGAGAGAGAGAGAGAGCCAGAGAGGGAACACAAGCAGCGGGAGTGGGAGAGGGAGAAGCAGGCTTCCAGCCTAGCAGGGAGCCCAACGTGGGGCTCGATCCCAGGACCCTGGGATCATGACCTGAGCTGAAGGCAGACGCTTAATGACTGAGCCACCCAGGTGCCCCTGGTTGTACCTCTTTTAAGCTAGTACACAATTAAACATACATGCTGGGTCACACTTGCTCTGCCCAGGCAAGACTCGGGGCCTGTCTGTTGAACAAATTCACATGCCCTGCTCCAGTATCTTAATAGTGTACTATAGACTGGGCACTTACTAGAAGCTTGTGTCTTTTCATTTGTCTTACACACGATGAGAAGGGCAAATAATTGTTATAATAGATTTAGATCAAAACACATATTTCTTTCTACTTGCTCCTGCATCAACAGCAGAATGCCTGGCACACAGTAGGTTCTCAATAAATACTCGTTGGATGAATCAATTAATGACTCAAACTGTTTGATTGTAGAGTACCTTGAGATTTCCAGGTGAGCTCCTCAAATCACTTATCCATGTGAATCAAAATTTTTCTCAAGCCTGAGCAAGCAGGACTTAATGCTAAGACTTACAAGATTACAACTTTGCGTTTTGGGTTTTGTATTCACAAAAAGCACCTTGGGGTCATCATCAAATTGCCTTTAGGATAAGTAAACGTTGTACGTTCAGACTTACCAAACATTGAATATATTAGCACTTGTGGCTTAGCTTAGACATCTAAACTGCTTTGACAGTTTTAAACTTGATTTGTAGCTTCATCTTCTTCAGTAATTAGGAAGCACACAGGCCCACTGGCACGCTGCCACTCTTCTATTAGACTTCCAAGTAGGATTTAGTTTGTTACAAGGCTCCCACTGCTTGAAGAGTTTGGAAATCACTGGACTCAGTGGCTGTTACAGACCTTCCAGGCTGGGACCCATGCCTGACTGGGGTCACTCTCCTTGTGGTGACACCACATTCTCGGGGACAAGTTTGCCAACACCACTGTTCCATCTCTGTTGCTTAAAGAGCAGGGAGCTGGTGCCCTCTTTTCAGTCCTAGTGCTGGGTTGGGGCCA